GCTTTCAACGATAATACTTAACAATAATTCCATTTGTTGGTTCACGTTTAAACAAAGGAAGTTAGTGATTGTGTTTGTACTTTAATTTGTCGCAGCCTGTGAACAGCAGAATCTTAAAGAAATTGAGAGAAGAATTCTACCACGATTCTCAATACACAAATATATTTTCCTTTCGCCTAATATTATAAATAATTTAAGTAAGGAAAACTATTCGCCAATAACTCGATACATAGGCGTAGATCAGACAGCCTCCCATTTGTCGCACCATGTCACTAAAACATCTTGGACCTTGAAAGTCCAAAGAAAGAACGAAGAATCAAGTGTTAAGCAACAGAATAGCAAGGAGATGGCAATGCTCGTCCGACGAGATGCCGGATCATACCTTTTGGATTCGTGAGCCAAGTGAGCTGAGTGAGCTATTAAATTCTTCGAATAAGCCGCGGCGGATGAATGCGATCGGCAATTAGGCAATCGCGCGCCGACGAGCTTCCACGTGGACGAGATTATTTCGATTCGCGGTGAAATCGTTAAGAACCGATTCGTATCCGATGCCGTATGTAACGCGAGGACGCCACAGAAGAGGCGAGTGCTTGGCTTGCATTCCGGCCTTCCTTTTTCGGCGTGGATTTTCCCTCGCCGCCGGCTCTTTTTTCCCTCGCTAGGCCGCCGCACAATTCGGAACCGCTTTATATAGCTGCGTGTCCTGCATAATATTAAGAAACGCAACGCCGTTTTATGGAACGGCCACCCAGGACGTTGTTTCCTCGTTGCCGGTCCTACGGTGGCGATGCCTCGAGCCAGCGTGACGAGCCTCACGTACCTACGCGTTTCTGATTGTTCGCAAGAACTCTTCCACTCTTCTATTGACGATTCTATACCACCCGCGCGGCGTAAACCGTGTCGTACGATCCGTGGCGGTCTCATAAATTATCCGGTCTGTCCCGGTTAATTGAATTAATGCGACCGTTTTCCCAACTCTGGCTCTCTGGTTTTGTTCGTTGTTCGGGGAGACTTGGGCTGGCTCGAGGAGAAATTAGAGTGACGATTCTTTGGAGAACGAAGGACAATAGAAACTTAGAAAGCAACGTTTGGAACGTGAATCCCTGCACGTAGAAAAGTTTTCGAAAGTAAAAGCGTTGAAGGAGAGAAATCTCAGTAACACGATTCTTACGACAATATATCTGGGTGTCTAAATTTTCTTAAGAAAAAAAGAAAAGAAAAGAAACATCAGAGACAGAAATTTATTCTACAGATTGTCTGGCAGAAATCTTGGAAATATTAATTAACAATTTTCCCATTAATTTCAATTAAAAACATCTTTGGCCAGAAGTACATTGAAGTATTCAAAGTACCATGTACCACACTGAGGCTGACATTGTAGTGCACTGCTAGTATTACACTTGAATCTATTCGCTTGACATCGTATTCCTGGCGGCAGGACCACCCAAGGTGTCTCAAGGTTTTCACGTATCGTGAACGATGGCGTTGACAATCGTCAGAGCGATCGATATATGATCGAGAAGCGAGAGAGAGAGAGAGAGAAAGAGGGACGAAGCACGATCGCGGCCGTAGGAGGTCTTCCATTTCGATTCACCACAGTCCTGAGGATCTTGTCCTGGGAAAGCCATAAAAGGTGATCAAGTCGTGCTGATCCAGAGACATTGACCGTGCATATGTACACGTAGCTCGTACGTCGCACGAAAACGTGAAAGAAATTTGCCGAGTCTTTCCAATTCGAGGGGATCGCGATTCATCCTTGAATTCCAATGGAAAATCATGGAAATTATTTCTCTTTATTATCGCTATTCCGATTTTTTCATTCCTCTAACTTCACTGGAATGACTATCATTTGGAATTAAAAAATAGTTATTACTGAACTAGAAATTCATATATTAAAAGAAGCCAAACTAATCTACTTGCTTCTGAGGAATCGCACATTCCTATTTCCTTTCTTCTCTTTGTTTACCATTCCGTTTTTTCCTTGCATTTTACTGACTTGGAATTAGAAGTAGTTCTTTGGAATCAGAAGTAGTTGTTACTGAACTAGAAATTCATATATTAAAAAGAAGCTAAACTGATCCACTTGCTTCTCCGAGGAATCGCAAATTCTAGTAGTAAAATCACGAATTTTCCCGACAATTAATCCGAGTAGCCATCTGACAGGAAATTCAAGGGGATTGTTTGAACAATCCAACGTAAAATGGAGATCGACGAAAGTATTCACAATTATCAACGCTTGCGGTATTAAGAAAAAAAAAAAAAAAAAAA